GTATATGTAGGGATGGCTAATATCAATCCTTCAAAAACAATGCAAACAAAATAGTAGGGATGGCATTTGCATCATAATAGCGCAAGGCAAGAACTAACATATAGCGATATACACAACTATTCAATCACAATTGAATTTTATTTATCCTATTTTTGTCTGTTAACATTCTACTACATTTATATCATCCCTACATAATAGTAGAGGCACACAAAGTAGTAGAATGTTAACAGACAAATATAGGATAAATTAAACTCTGTTGTAATTGAATAGTTATATATATTGATATATGTTGATTCTTACCTGTGCTATTATGATGCAAGTGCTATTTTTATCATTTTGTTGGCATTGTTTTCGAAGGATTGATAATAACCATCCCTACATCTACTTCCTTTTTTGAATGTTTTTTCTCTACTTATTTGTTTGTTGTTGTTTTTTCAATGCAATGTTTCAATAGACATAGCAAAGTTGTATTTATAACCAAGTTCTAAATACAATGATGTTCCAACTGTAATATTTATTGCCTATCTATTATTGGCTGCGCCCCCCAGTGGCACAGCGGTATGTCTGTGGACTTACAACGCTAGAAACCGAGTTTCGATACCCGTGATGGGCAGAGCACATATAGCTCTTATGTAGCTTTGTGCATAATTAAAAACAAACAAACAAACAATTATTGACTGATAATTCCTGTTTCACCCTGTACCTAATTTGTTTAAAAGAACACCAAATTTCTGTAAGAATTTTAACTTCAAGGGTAATGATAACTTCGTTTACAATGGAATTATTATTTTTAAAAAAATTACTACTAGTTATTAACAGTACTTATAAAAGCGGATACTTCGTTTGAAACTATGTCACTTCAGTGAAATTGGTTGACACCATTGTTTTGGTCTTTGAGTTATCATGTAATGAAAAAGAAGCAGAAGAAAGAAGATCAAGAAATTCGAACTTTTTGTTATGATATTAACAAGACATTGCCAGAACTTGTGACTCAATCATTACAAATATATTGTTATAAAAAAAAACACTGTATAGTATTGTAAAGTTCTGATGACCTATTGAGGAGATATTTAAAGTACCATTTCTACGAACAATCCAAGCCATCCCTACATAGACAGTGCTACAGCTCGCTTGATAACAGGCTTACCACAGAACACTAAAAAGTAGACAACCCGAACAGCCGTAAGTCTCATGCCTTACAACACTAAATTCGGGTTTCGATGCCCGCGATGGATAGAACACAGATAGCTTATTGTGGAACTTTGTACTTAACAAGAAATAAAATCATTAGTTAATTATCTTCTGTGAGAGTATAAGAGGACGAATATATGTCATAACAGAGCTATCAAAGTCCATGATCACGTGTTTCCTCGTAAAATAGCTTTAATCAGCAGTGTATTTATAGAGTCTCTACTAAAATGTGTCGGATGTGACAAATATACAGGATTAAGATATCTAGTTTGGAAAGTTAACTAACGAGAAATATCTCGAGAGGAACAGCTGCTAGTACTTGAAGTAGATAAGTATACTATAACTACATCAAACAGTTCTCTGTCGTTGCTTCTTCAGAGATCTTTACGTTCAATATCATACTCAAGTAAGTATACCCCCCAGTGACACATGGCTAACTCTGTAGACTTATGACGCTAAAAACCGACTTTCGTTACCCGTGGTGAGAGGAGCACAGATAGCCCATTGTTTAACTTTGTGCTTAACTACAAACAAATAAAGTAAATGTATTTGTAATGGTTATTTTATTTCCACAGTTTTAAGAGCAAGACGTTTGGTGATAGTGTTTTCTTTGTTTGATGTTCACTCTTCAACAACATTCCACTTATTTAAAAGTAATTAACATTTTTACAGACCAGATACCTTTCTTACTTATTAATCATTAAGAGTACTCGTTTTCATGATAACTAACGAGAAATATCTCGAGAGGAACAGCTGCTAGTACTTGAAGTAGATAAGTATACTATAACTACATCAGACAGTTCTCTGTCGCTGCTTCTTCGGGGATCTTTACGTTCAATATTACTCAAAATACATCCTCAACCCTTCGTTGTGAGTCTGTAAACTTACCGCTGAGTCGACGGGTGACGAGATTTTAGCAAGACTAAGCAAATACTGACTTTGTTCGTGTTCGGATATTTGTGTTTTTTCCAAGGTGAGCACAGTTACTTACTTATTAACGGGGATTGTTCGTGATTGTCTTTATGACTTCCAGTGGATTATTTATACTCCCTCATGTTGTGCTTTCTGGAGGTGGTTATTTGTTTCTGTTATTGTCGATGAGAGCGTAACTTGTTTATTTCTTGGTTTTGGACATGTTGCATTTTTCTCTCATCAGAAGCAATAAGATTCAATGTATTTAACAAGTAATCATCCAATCATTTTATAATAATGTTAACAAAAAGTATTTGGAAATTTAAGATTTCATTTATTTGTGTGTTATAGACAGTAGAGATTCTGGAGAATTGTAAAATATAAACAATAGAGATTCTGAACAATTGTAGAATAGAGACAGTGGAAATTCTGGACAATTATATAATACAGATAGTAGAGGTTCTGAACAATTATATTATACAGACAATATAGATTCTGGGCAATTGTATAATACAGATAGTAGAGGTTCTGAACAATTATATAATACAGAGTAGAGATTCTGAACAATCATATTATACAGACAATAGAGATTCTGGGCAATTGTATAATACAGATAGTAGAGGTTCTGAACAATTATATAATACAGAGTCGAGATTCTGAACAACCATATTATACAGACAATAGAGATTCTGGGCAATTGTATAATAGAGACAGTGGAGATTCTAAACAACTATATAATACAGAATAGAGATTCTGAGCAATCATATTATACAGACAATAGAGATTCTGGGCAATTGTATAATAGAGACAGTGGAGATTCTGAACAACTATATAATACAGGCAGTGGAGATTCCGAATAATTATGTAATGCAGACAGTAGAGGTTTTGAAGAATTATATAATACAGACAGTACGGGTTCTGAACAATTATATAATACAGACAATAGAGTTTCTGGACAATTGTAGAATAGAGACAGTGGAGATTCTGAACAATTATGTAATACAGACAATGGAGGTTCTAAATAATTATAATCTGCTGCCGTCTTCAGGAAGGTCCAGAGATGAACTGTTTGTAGTAATAGAGAACAGGATTGAATACTGTGTCTTCTTGTTAGAAAGACTAATGAGGTATCCACTCCACTGGGGCCTTCTTCCCTAATCAACTGACAACGACTGACATCCGATCGTCACAATCGTGATGTAAAATTTAAACTATTATTAGTTTGTTCAGTCTTTCTCATATACTAATTAAACATCTTCTTTTAACAGCCACTCTGGTGTACAATACTGGAATTAATTGTGGAAATGCATAAGTGATACATATACAAAAGTCATAAACAATGAGTAATTTGAACTAAATTTAAATTTATCATTAGTATAATGCATTACAATCGAAAATACATAAGAAAAACGGAAAAGTTGTACAATGCGTTAGTATTTTCTACATGTTGTAAACACAGTAGAGCGCCTTGTTTTATGTTACCATATGTTTATCATTGTATGTTAATGAAATATTGATTCAAATGTGCTACTACTCATTTTATTGTTGCCGTTTGAATTTTTAGTTCCTATATATATAAGTCCTTACAGGCTACATAATATTCATATCAGATCTCTGTGCAAGCCAGATCGTGGTTGTGAGTGCTACATTGACCTCTCTTCTTTAAAAGTATCGTTTAATAACATTTGTTCTATGCTTGATATCACAGTTTTGGAAAACAATCCCTTGCCCAGTAGGTCTTATTATTGGGTGAATGACAAGATGGATAAGAATCTGCTGTACCTTTCAGCACTGAGGGTTCCATCACTTTTGTAAAGATGCCCAACACCACTGGCTGATATGCGGCCCACATCTGTACTGGTCACCCAACATGCTTCATTGCATATCTTGAACGTTTAGCGTGATATTTTTACCTCTCTACCATTGAATAAATTATTGTTCATTGTTGCTATACAGTTTTAATTTCGATTCATCCGTAAAGAATACCGCTATTCAGCTTTGTCCATCTCACCGTTGAAGTCTGATACCCTTTCGGTTTTTGGTTTGGCTATCTCTCTTATGCAGTGGTATTTGAACAGCTATACAACCACCGAGACAACTTGATGCCATGTGTGCGTATCTTACTTACCTGGAGGTAACATACAAACGTCTACTTACAGATAGATCATTGAAATATTTCTACTGCGTTAACCTATCACATAAGGACCATACCCTGAGATACTTAAACATAACCTTTAAAGAGTTAAGGTTTGTACCTTAACCTATTCTATTACAAACAGATATAATTCCATATACCCTCTTCACAATTTTCACGCAACTTCAACAAAACATGAAGTTTCGCCTCAATCTGCCGAATGGGGTAGTCTTCACGAGGGAAAACTTTCATTTCTTGAAGGGTTTCATGTTGAATTTCTGTCCTACAAGCCAGGTGTCCCGCGCAGTTTTTTCAGGTACCGGGACGACTGTGAAAAGTATGTTAGCAGACCTCAGTGGTCGGACTGGTAAGGGTAACTGATCTAAGGTTTGACACTGTGGTATAAGATGACTGGCTCAGATGATGGTCTTAATACTAATAACCGTTCTCATACACGTGGGTTAGTGGTTAAATGCTGTTTCCATAATGTGTAACAAAATATTTACTAGCTACATTACAAACAAAACGTTTACTGTAATCAACGATGGTCCTCGGGAATTGCATTGCGGCACCAAACATGTTGTATACCTGGTGAGCTGCAGTTAGCTAAATATGTGCTGCGAAAATATTTTGAGAGCTACGTGAATGTTGACAGGTCATCTACTAAAAAGAAATACTTAAGTTTCTTCTAGCATTAACCCTCCAGAGCACACGTTTTGAAGATGTTCTCATACAACCAATAGAGCTCATACAAGGTGAAAATTTAAATGTCTTATGCGTTAAGCCTGTGAAAAGAGGAGAATATTGGATGAAAACACAAGCTACAATCTACCTCTATGAGCGTAACGATCGAGTTCAAAATGAAAGTAATCATTCTCAGGGTTTCATATTTTTAAATAATCTGTATTTTTCTGAAGAGGTTACACGTCAGCCACGTAGTAAGGGGCGTGAACACAGAACGAAGTTAAAGCACAGGAAAGTTTACTACGTAACCTCCTACAAGTTCATCAAACTAAAAGTCTCAGAGGTTTATATGTTGTCTTACGAGAGCTATAGGTTAATAACCTTACCCTTATTCAAACGAACATAAACACAGTACGAGAGCTATATATTAATAAACTTACCCTTGTCCAAACGAACATAAAATTAAATCATTAACTGCTATGGTACCCAACTAATGAAAATCAGCGTAATCTTTATAAGTAGGAACGTAAGAAAAGTGCATTTAATTTGCTATCATCGTTACCATGTTTTAGTTCTAAGTAGGTAGCTTTCTTTGATCAGAAGTTAATATTAATTATTGGTTGGATGTCAGCCAATCACACTGTAAACTATCAACACGTGACTGTACTCTGCTGCAGTTCATTTGAGTACAATAGAGAAAGAACAATCCCATAATATTTACATTTTTATGTTCAGTTTATTTATTGTTCCCACAATTATTATAGTTATACCTAGGTCTACCATAGTACAATACTAAAAATATTTATTTTTTTAAGAGAGACATAGAGTCGTCCTGGCACAACAAACATAATTTTTCTTGAATTTTATCCTTTTCCAAGTCACATTTTCCATTTTTTTTATAAGATTCACCAGCGGCTGTTTTATGTGTTTTGTGTAATTAATTCTTAAGGTAAAGTTGTTTGAAATTATAATGAAACCTCGGGGTTTAAAATCTATAACCTTTCAGATTATTTGAAATAATGAGTCACATTTAGCAAAGTCACATTGAGTTATTTGCTGTGTCTACCGTGGGGAATCGAACACCGGATTTGAGCGTTATAACTTACCACTGTCCAACCGGGGGGACAAAAATGAGTCATGACACGAGTTATTGGATTTTCAGTGGCGATTACCATTTACTTTTATCACCGTTTATTGTAAAACCTCAGAAACATACCCAAAAAATCCATCAATATGTTCAACTTTAAATCTTTTTAACATACAAAGAGGTTTATTATTTCCTTGCCAACGTTAGATTTTTTTGGCAGCTGTTGAAGTTACAATTTTATTCGTGATCATGAAACACATATAACTAATAACAGTGATCACAAAAGCGGATTCCGTGGTAAAAAAAAAAAAATCACAACTCAAGCTAACGCCGGATGGATTATTCCATTAACTAGGACTATAAAATAAGAAAAAATAAGCCAAATTTTGCAATATAAACATCGATTGAAGCCTTATACAAGAAATCATTTATTCAGAACATCGACTATAAAATATTTGAATTGTGATAAAAACGAACAATTGGATAAAACTGGGAAAACGCATTTGTTACCAAAACCGAGACTTTATTTAGTATATAAAATGCAAAACTGGGATCAATTATTTTACAGGTATATAATAATAATAATACCAATCAAAAAACGGAAAATTAAATTTTTCAGATTCAAGGAAACATATTTAATTATATTTTCTTCTTAATTCGTTGAATATATTTTATGATGTTGTTACAATGAACTGTTATTAATATTATTAAATTTAATTCAAAACATAAAAACAAACCGTATTGAATTTCTATAGATCGTTTAATGTTTCTCAACGACATATTTATATTATTTTTTACGATAGTTTCATCAAAAGGTGACTTACTCACCTTATAAGTAACTTTATTAAAAAGTAGTTCTGGTAGAAATGATTTTTAATAACTTTGAAAAATACGAGATACGTTAAAAGTTATGACTGGTCAAATAGTGCGATTTTTTGGTTTTCATTCCTAACGGAATACGTTACAATGATTTATTTGATGTTACAATAATACCAAACAAATCATCAAAATATGAGGAGCTTTAACAAATTTTGGGTAAGAATAAATGAAATATTTGAATGTGATCGATATACGTAAGATTAGTCTCAAACTCTTTCTATATGGAGCAAGTGTTTGATCAGTCAGTTATGATAGCACTTTTGAAAACTAAAACTCAATATACGTAAGATTAGTCTCAAACTCTTTCTATATGGAGCAAGTGTTTGATCAGTCAGTTATGATAGCACTTTTGAAAAATAAACTACTAATATACGTTAATACTTAGTACCTACTAAACTATATAGAGTACAAAGTTTTTGATCATTCATTATGGGTACTATACACTTTATAAAACCTAA